TTCAATCAGGATTAAAACGAAAAAGTTATAGTATTTTTAAGAATAGAAAAAATAATGTTAATTAATTTGAGTTTGAGTTTCTGAACTCGAGTTGAAAGAAAAACTTGAACTCGAGTTTTAGTCCCAAACTCGAGTTCAAACTTAAAAAAACGTGAACTTAAATAAAATTATAACTCGAGTTATTTTTTTTAAGTTTTTGACTAAAAAAACAAAAACTGCTAAACGACCTTTAATATTTTTATAGATGCCTTTTAACTCTCAACTAATCTTACAATACTCATAGCCACATGAGGGATTCATAAAAGATCAAATTAATGAAAGAATATATTACACCCCATTTTAACTTCAACAAATTTATTGCAATACTCCGTTGAATTTATTGCAATAAAACTCAATCCAAATTATCTAAAATTCTCAAACCAAACAAATTTGCTTCTAATGGGCAATGTTTCAGTTACAAACTGATGTGGGTCTTGATCTTACTAACATAAAATTAATCAATGCCCAAGTTTTGTTCTGTTCTTAAGTATATAGTATATACTGTTGTTTTTACTTTTTAGTAAAGAAAGAATTATGGTTTGGAATATAGATATTAGACATGTATTTTTTTTTTATTAATTTTTTGTTTTTAAAATTTCGAAAAGAAACAAACTTCATTATCACATAATGAACAGAATGAATAGTAATAGAAAAAACTGGAAAAGAAACAACGCAAGCAGGAGAAGCAGAATGTTATTAGCTTTGGCTTGTTGTTTATGTGGTTTCGCTTCTTAATTCATAATTTTATATAGATGTCTTCATTGGAAAAGCAAAAAGTGGTAGAGTCTCAATCCAATAAAAAAGAAACTGAAAGGTCCGAGATTACTGAAACACAAGAGACAACTGAGAAAGAAGGAAAAAGTACTAAGAAAAGGAAGAAAGCCCGACAAATAAGCCCGATTTGGCAGTATTTCACAAGGGACGAAAAAACTAAAAAAGCTACTTGTAAACATTGTGGTGTCACTTATGTTGCTGATTCGAAAAAAAAATGACACGTCTACACTGAAGAGTCATATAAAAAGTTATTTGATGAATACAAAGAATGAAAACAAGCAAAAGACCATCTAATTTAGTAAGAAGACCAGCGCATGTGAGAAGGACACTGCGCCGGTCTTCCTAAAGTTGAACTTTTTAATTATGCTTTGGACTTCTTAATTTCTTATGCCAATTTAGATGTTTTTTACACTTGTGTTGTTGACTTTATATGTGGACTTTGAACATTAATATTGTTTGTTGTGACTTTCTAGTTTCTATTTTCTACTACTTGTACTTTGGATTTTAGACATTAGATTTGGATATTTTGTATTTGTGATATTATCAATTTGGATGTTGTGCTTTGTAGTCATTTATTGTGATTACAGGTTTGCATAGAAGGAAAGTTTTACATTTTTCCATATTTTCTGGTCAAAAAATGCAACTAAAGATGTTGGTAACCTGATGATTAACTAAGGTCACCTTTCTGATTACTAAAACTGAAAAATTGACTGAAACCGAACCAAAACTGAAGTTCGGTTAACCGAACCGAATAATGCTGTATACAGTTCAGTTTCGGTGCCCACTTTTAAAAAATTGACGTGGTCAGTTTGGCCACCGAACCGACCAAAACCGGCGATTTTTAACCGCCGAACACCCCTAAATCCAGTTTTCCCACCTTCTTTCTTCATTTTTTCTAATAAAAAGTAATCACATTGCTCTTATCAATTTTATAGCTTCATGGTTGAACATAAATTAACATCAGAATTGTTGATAAATAAGCACACAACAAATCACCTAAATTAAACCAAAAATAAAATTACAAAAAATAATCTAAAAACACCACAAAGCAGGCCTTTAGAGAAGTTGGGATCTTTCTTGGCCTTCTCCTGAAACTTCTTGAACCACCGGTCCAAAATATCCATGGGGACCTTCAGCTTCGACCCGCTAACGCCGCAAAACGACTGCATGAAAGTTAATAGATTCTCCCCTCCCTTCATCGCCAACCGCTCGATCCTCTTCTCTGCCGCCACGTCAAACAATGGAAGTGATGTCGGTCGTCCACCAAAATCCCGATCTTCATTGACAGTGGCATGGAATCTGCGGTAGTGATCTAAAGCTGCTCGCAGGAGACAGCGGTGAGAGGATCGGGCCAGGGGAGGGAGAGACAACGGAGGGACGGGCAAGAGTAACGACGCCGGATAAGACGAACGAGGAGCCGGGGATTGGGCATAGACAACGAGGGCTTTGTCAGGAGGGACGATGGAGTTGTTGAGGTGAATCCTTGAATGGGCAAAATCAGAGCTGTGGATGTTGATTCACTGTAGAGGACTGGTTTGAAACGTAAAATGACAGAAAAGTACAGACTCGTACACTCTTACGAGAGGTTAAACTCTCTTTTGAGCTGTTCAACTCGAACAAAATTAGGCTTTCAAGATTACTGAAACACAAGAGACAACTGAGAAAGAAGGAAAAAGTACTAAGAAAAGGAAGAAAGCCCGACAAATAAGCCCGATTTGGCAGCATTTCACAAGGGACGAAAAAATTAAAAAGGCTACTTGCAAACATTGTGGTGTCACTTATGTTGCTGATTCGAAAAAAAAAATGACACGTCTACACTGAAGAGTCATATAAAAAGTTGTTTGATGAATACAGAGAATGAAAACAAGCAAAAGACCATCTAATTTAGTAAGAAGACCAGCGCATGTGAGAAGGACACTGCGCCGGTCTTCCTAAAGTTGAACTTTTTAATTATGCTTTGGACTTCTTAATTTCTTATGCCAATTTAGATGTTTTTTACACTTGTGTTGTTGACTTTTATATGTGGACTTTGAACATTAATATTGTTTGTTGTGACTTTCTAGTTTCTATTTTCTACTTTGTACTTTGGATTTTAGACATTAGATTTGGATATTTTGTGTTTGTGATATTATCAATTTGGATGTTGTGCTTTGTAGTCATTTATTGTGATTACAGGTTTGCATAGAAGGAAAGTTTTACATTTTTCCGGTCAAAAAATGTAACTAAAGATGTTGGTAACCTGATGATTAACTAAGGTCACCTTTCTGATTACTAAAACTGAAAAATTGACTGAAACCGAACCAAAACTGAAGTTCGGTTAACCGAACCGAATAATGTTGTATACAGTTCAGTTTCGGTGCCCACTTTTAAAAAATTGACGTGGTCAGTTTGGCCACCGAACCGACCAAAACCGGCGATTTTTAACCGCCGAACACCCCTAAATCCAGTTTTCACACCTTCTTTCTTCATTTTTTCTAATAAAAAGTAATCACATTGCTCTTATCAATTTTATAGCTTCATGGTTGAACATAAATTAACATCAGAATTATTGATAAATAAGCACACAACAAATCACCTAAATTAAACCAAAAATAAAATTACAAAAAATAATCTAAAAACACCACAAAGCAGGCCTTTAGAGAAGTTGGGATCTCTCTTGGCCTTCTCCTGAAACTTCTTGAACCACCGGTCCAAAATATCCATGGGGACCTTCAGCTTCGACCCGCCAACGCCGCAAAACGACTGCATGAAAGTTAATAGATTCTCCCCTACCTTCATCGCCAACCGCTCGATCCTCTTCTCTGCCGCCACGTCAAACAATGGAAGTGATGTCGGTCGTCCACCAAAATCCCGATCTTCATTGACAGTGGCATGGAATCTGCGGTAGTGATCTAAAGCTGCTCGCAGGAGACAGCGGTGAGAGGATCGGGCCAGGGGAGGGAGAGACAACGGAGGGACGGGCAAGAGTAACGACGCCGGATAAGACGAACGAGGAGCCGGGGATTGGGCATAGACAACGAGGGCTTTGTCAGGAGGGACGATGGAGTTGTTGAGGTGAATCCTTGAATGGACAAAATCAGAGCTGTGGATGTTGATTCACTGTAGAGGACTGGTTTGAAACGTAAAATGACAGAAAAGTACAAACTCGTACACTCTTACGAGAGGTTAAACTCTCTTTTGAGCTGTTCAACTCGAACAAAATTGGGCTTTCAATTTAAATAAATGCCTTTAACAAACACTTATTTGAACGTTGGAGCTGCTTAAACTGAGCCTAAATAGACTGAACTAGTGAATCAAACGCACCATTAAAATAAAAACAGAAGTCTCCTCATTTTTTTTTCGTAATAGATTAAAATTTTATTTTTAATACTTTTTTAAGAGATAGTTTATTTTTTAATACTTGGGTAAAAGTTACAAAATATACTATACTACATTTATACTAAAATAATTTTAATAATTAATAAAATTAAAAATAACAATAGTAATAAAAAGTTTAGTATCTATTTTACAATTGTAATTGTTAAAAATATAAAAATTAACAACAATAAATCATAAATATTTTGAATAAAACATTAAAATTATATTTTTTAGTATTTTTGTGTAAACATATTTATGTTATGATAAATCTCTATACTTTACTCTTTATATCTATATAATAGAAATGCCAATTCTTAGTATTCTTCACGCGTTTTTCAATCAAAACGTTTTGGTTGAAAACGCGTGAACAGTGCATGCGTTGCTACAACTTTTTTTTTTTTTTTGCTTCTAAGGTTTATTCCCCTTTCATTTTAGGTCCTTTTTTCCTTTTTTTTATTTGACTACTTACCTTAAAATTTATTTTTTTAATTTTAATTTCTTTTTAGACTCTTATATGTTTTAAATGATAATACGGTAATTAAAATTTAATATACGATTACCCATATGCTATGCACGTGTTCTTCCACTAGTGTGTGTGTGTGTGTGTGTATATATATATATATATATATATATTCTTATCTGTAGCTATACTATATGCAAAAGAGATGATGCATTTGTTTATTCAAATTTTATTTTGTTTACGACCATCATTATAAATAATATAAAATTATTAGTTTTCTTTATATTAATCGATCATATTTATTCATGTTTGCATTCATATGCTCGGAGTTTTTTTTTTCTTTTTTTTTTTGAGGAAACATACAGTAATTAGAAAAAGAAATCTTTGTTTAACCATGACTAGGGGATAAAAGAGAAGTCAATTTTTGTACTTGCCAATCCTACATCTACTAATTTCCCATCACGGTTTTCATAAATTTCCCTTCTTGTTATCTCATCTTTCTGTTGATTTTCCCTCTTCCTCCTCGCGCATCCCAAGAAATCTAACGCAATTTCAGTTAGCTGAATCTGCCCCGAAAACAAAAAAAACATCAATATATTTCCGATTTTTTTTTCCGGTGAACTTTGGGTTCGATTGACTCAAAGCAAAGATGCTGGAGAAGATCGGGCTTCCGGCGAAGCCGTCGCAGCGCGGGAACAATTGGGTGGTTGATGCCTCACACTGTCAAGGATGTTCTTCGCAGTTCACCTTCATCAATCGCAAGGTTTTTTTTTTATTTTTTTTATTTGATTCCCGTTTATTTTTTCCCTCTGAATGTTAAACTGAACAATCTTAGTTGTTAGTTTATATAACATGTGATTACTTGTTTTAATATGAACTGATCACAATGTTAGTTATTAGTTTGGTTCAACTTTTCTTTTCTTTCTGAATGTTTTTGATGACTAAAGATTGCTTCTTTTGGAGAAACTTGTGTTTTTCCGCTTCTGGGTGTGTTAAGAAACAGGAGACTTGAGTGATAGAGGAAATAGATAAAGCTTGTTATAATGTAGACGTGAAGATTATATTTTACAGCCAATTCTTTTGGTTTTAGTTATGTAGTTTTAAACAATTTACAGGATGAATTCAGCAAAAAAAAAGAAAAGAAAAGGGAAAACAAAGTTTATATGATTTAGTGTTATTCTTGTTGTGAGTGCTTGCTAAGTCGTTGGTGGTATTTATTTTGGAATTTCAGCATCATTGCCGCAGATGTGGGGGTTTGTTCTGCAACAGCTGCACCCAACAAAGGATGGTTTTACGCGGACAAGGCGATTCACCTGTGCGGATTTGCGAACCTTGTAAAAAGCTAGAGGAGGCAGCACGCTTCGAAATGCGCTATGGACACAGGAATAGAGCTGGGAGAGGTACTGTTTTTGATGATTTCAATTTTCAGTCAGATTGTTACTAAAACCTTGTAAAGCCCTGCCTTTTCAACCCCATGTGCGTTGTTTTTTAGTTATGAGCTGTCAATTTGTACCCATGTTTGCTTCAGCTGCGTTGCTGGATAATAAAGGAATAAAGGGTACTTACTAGACTAGTGATTTCCTTAAGTCATTCTTTATCGCTCTTGTGCAGGGAAGACGAAATCAACATTGGAGTCTGAGGATGAAGTATTAAACCAGATCTTAGGCGATGATAGAAAGGAGGCTTTTGCATCAGGACTGGGATCAAGCAGCAAAACAAGTTCCAATATTCAGGGAGCGTCAAGTTTCAATGCTCAAGAAGTTGTTGCTCTGGGTGAGGGAAGTGAAGCTCGTAGAAGTCCTTCCACTGATGATCGGTTTAATACAATGGGTGAGATGGGCACTGCTAGCCCTGAGGATTTGCGACAGAAAGCTTTGGAAGAAAAAAAGAAGTACAAAGTACTAAAAGGAGAAGGAAAATCAGATGAAGCTTTAAGAGCATTTAAAAGAGGAAAGGAGCTTGAAAGGCAGGCTGATGCATTGGAGTTAACTTTAAGAAGAAATTGTAGAAAGGCTTCGCTTTCTGCAAGTGTAGAAGAGGTCCAGACAAAAGATGTTCCTGGCGAATCTAGAAGTAGAAGTAAGGTTGCTCGTTTAGAGAGTAAAGAGAAAAATGACCTTACGGCTGAGCTCAGAGAACTTGGGTGGTCTGATATGGATCTGCATAATGAAGACAAAAAAGGGACAAATATGACTCTCGAAGGTGAGCTCTCTTTTCTTCTTGCTGAAATCTCAGATAGGCCTAAAAATGTTAAGGGTACAAATGCTATTGACAAAACTCAAGTTATTGCTCATAAAAAGAGAGCCCTTCTGCTGAAGCGTGAAGGAAAGATGGCGGAAGCCAAGGAAGAACTAAAGAGAGCAAAAGTTTTAGAAAAGCAACTTGAAGAACAGGAACTTTTGGCTGAGGCTGAAGAAGATGATGATGATGATGAACTTTCGGAATTGATCCATAGTATGAACAGTGATAAAAATGAATTGTCTTCTAATCTATATGAGCAACAGCATGATTTTGATTTTGGCAGTCTTCTAGGTGCTGCTGGTGATCAGATTATTGACAGTAATTTTGATGTAACGGATGAGGATATGGAGGATCCAGAGATAGCTGCTGCTTTGAAATCATTAGGATGGACTGAAGATTCTGATAACCCTAAAACCACTGTTACCCAGATTGTTTCAGTTGACAAGGAATCACTGTCGAAAGAAATCCTATCCTTGAAAAGAGAGGCTGTTAACCAGAAGCAGGCAGGTAATGTTTCAGAGGCAATGGCTCTGCTAAAGAAGGCAAAACTACTAGAAAGGGACCTTGAAAGCTTTGAGTCTCATGAAGGAAAAGTTGGAATAGATTCCGATAGTGTTCAGATGGATCCTACTTCTCAAGCTGCTAGTAAATCATCAAAGTCATCCGTGGTCAGTGACGAAAATATAAATGCAACAAAAGAGAGAGACTCCAAATTTTCACCAAGGAGTAAACTGATGATTCAAAAAGAGCTTCTGGGTTTGAAAAAGAAGGCTCTTGCATTGAGAAGGGAAGGGCGGTTGGATGAGGCAGAAGAAGAATTAAAGAAAGGGAAGATTCTTGAGCATCAGCTTGAAGAGATGGACAGGGCTATGAATGTGAAGGTTGAGCCTGTGGCTGCTCGTAATAAGGACCCGAAGAAGGGATATAAGCATCCTGATTTCTCTAACAAAGTGCCTATTGTAGATGAGGAGGGAGATGACGTAACTGATCAAGATATGCATGATCCAGCGTATCTTTCCCTTCTAAAGGATTTAGGCTGGAAAGACGAACAGAATGACCAGGCTAACTCTTTATCAGAATCTCATGACAGATATGTTAATATTCCTGAGCATATTGATGAAACCTCTGTACCTCAAGCTACACCTGTTGTTCCAGTTAGGCGATTAAGAAGTAGAGCTGAAATGCAAAAAGAGCTCTTGGGTTTGAAAAGGAAAGCCCTTGTGCTGAGGCGCCAAGGAGAGAGTGAGGATGCGGAGGAAGTGCTGAGGATGGCAAAAGATTTAGAGGTGCAAATGGCGGAGATGGAACAACCAATAAAAGAAGTTCAGCTTGACCTTGGTACACACAAAGCAAATGCCATAAAGTCTCTTAAAAGTGCAGATGAGGAAGATGATGCAGGGGTCATCACGGAAAAGGATATGTGTGACCCTGAAATGCTATCAATGCTGAAGAACTCGGGACGGAATGAGGAAGAACATGAAACTAAAATCATGCATGCAAAGGAAAAAGAAACTGCTGTTAATTCTGTACATTCTGATGCCGTGTCTCTTATTCAACCTTCTCTTCCGATTGTCGTTCCTGCAAAAAGAAGTAAAGGTGAAATCCAAAGGGAACTCTTAAATTTGAAAAGAAAGGCCTTTACTCTGAGAAGGAAAGGAGAAACTGAAGAGGCCGAGGAAGTGCTGAAGATGGCCAAGGTTCTAGAGGCTCAAATGGAAGAACTAGAAGTCCCAAAACAGGCACATCTGCATGAAGTCTTCAAAGATGAGAAACCCGATAGTTTTGGATCCCTGATTAACCAAGAAAGGCATGAAAATCTAGCTGGTATTGCGGGTATAAGTGGAGGAATGTCCCAGGCAACATCAATTACCACTAGCAAGCTTATTGAATTTTCAAGTGATGTCGAAAGCATGGGAAGTGACACAGCACGTCATACATCAAGGAATTCTGATCTTCCAATTCCTCTTAACTCACAGCTAATTGAAGGAGACCAAATGATAGAAAGCACTAGTATCCCTCCTCCTGGTGACTCGGTAAACTTGGTAGATCTGTTAACAGGAGATGACTGGAGAGGTCCTCAAATGTCTGCTGAACAACAAGACATGGCTCTTATTGATGAGAAGCCTCATGTTCAGGCATCAAATTCTGTTAAAGAAACTCCTACGGTAAGGAATGACGATGTTAAAACTGAAAAACAAGAAAATATGGTACTTGTTGATGAGAAGCAACATGATTATGAAGCAAATTCTACAGAGGAAAATGCTTCTCCGAGTAATGAAAGTGCCCTTAAGCAAGACGTTTTGGCTCGTAAAAGGAAGGCAGTAGCTTTAAAGAGAGAAGGGAAACTCGCAGAAGCTCGCGAAGAACTTCGGCAGGCGAAGTTGTTGGAGAAGCGTCTTGAGAAAGACGATGACAAAGCCAAAACCAGTCCAGCTAAGGAGTCAGATTCCACGTCCAATGTTTCTTCTGTTGGTCAAAAGGAGCGTGGTTCATCGAATACTCCTCCAAAATCAATTTCCAGCCGCGACCGCTTCAAGTTGCAACAGGAGTCCCTCGCTCACAAGCGTCAGGCTCTGAAGCTGCGAAGAGAGGGTAGGACTGAAGAAGCGGAAGCTGAGTTTGAATTGGCCAAGGCACTTGAGACCCAATTGGAGGAGTTGTCTGCTCAAGATTCTGTTGAACCAGAAAACGATGTTGGTGTTGAGGATTTCCTCGATCCTCAGCTTCTGTCCGCCTTAAAAGCAATAGGCATAGAAGATGCTAATGTGGTACCTCGTGTTGCTGATAAACCACAATCTTCAAAGCCTAATGTTGGTAAGATTGAAAGCCCTAACCAAGAGAGAATTAAGCTGGAAGAGCAGATAAAGGCAGAGAAGGTAAAGGCACTAAACTTGAAACGCTCAGGAAAGCAAGCTGAGGCCTTGGATGCGCTTAGAAAGGCCAAACTACTTGAAAAGAAGCTGAATTCCTTATCCTGAATCTCTTTAGTTTTGAGTTCAAGAAATGAGGACATTGCCTTTTAAGCTGGAAAAGCTCCTTCGTATAAAGCTAGGTTAACTCCATACATGAAGAATACAGAAGACAGAAATGTGGAAGAAGAAATTCGGTGGCAACACCATGATGCTCAAGGTCTTCCGTGGCGGTTCGATTCTTTTCGATCTCCCTCTGCCTTCCGCTCCTAGCGTGTAAGTCCCTTTTACCACCACAAGGCTGATGCCCACTTTCTTATTTGATTCGACATTCTCTATAACATCTTCGTAGGATGCAGAGTGAAACCGGTTTTGTATAGTGATCCTCAATCGATATTTGTTTGTACCTAACACATTTCTGTTGTATTTGTCATTCAGTATAGAAAACATACTATTTTTACTTGTACTATGATGAATCACTGAAAGAACTGCGTTTTATTCGATTGTGTAAAGAGCCGCTTTATTGTTACTTACATTTCATGACGTCTCTGATTGATGCAGGAATTTCTTGTGAAGTGCTCCTTCAATTCCACGTAAAGTCATTAGTCCCAAGGATTCATACATCATCATCTGAATTGGTTTATTTCCTTCAGCTGCTACTGCAAGAGAATAAAGTAAAGGCTAAGTAATTATTCAAAGAAAAATGTAAAGGCTAAACTGGCATTCCAAGACCAGAGTTCGTGAGATTGGGCATGCCCATATATGGTCCTGTTTTCTGTAGCTTTAGTCACTTCATGTGTGACCAAAACATTGTCCAAATGCACCCTATTATTCTCTTTATTTTTTTTTAATTTTTTTTTTCAAGTCATTCCTTTTATTTATTAATTTTTACCCTACAATTTATTTGTTTCTTCATTTTGATTCTTTTTTTTCCTTTTTTATTTTTGTCCTAAAACTTTATTTTATTTTTCGTTTTGGTTCTCTTTGTCATAAAATTTATTTATTTCTTCATTTTGACCTTTTTTTTTTTTTATTTTACCTCTGAAACTTTATCTTTTTTGTTTTGATTCTTTTTGTCTTAAAGCTTATGTATTTCTTCATTTTAATCCCTTTTTACTCTTTTTTTTTAATTTTTGCACTAAAATTTTATTTTTTTCTTCCCTTTTTGCTTTTTGCCTTACAATATATTTATTTCTTCATTTTAATTCGTTCTTTACTCTCTTTTTTTTTTTGTTTCTTGCCTTAAAACTTCATTTTTTTTCCTTTTTAGATTTTATATTTAAATTTTATATGCTTTTAAGAATAATAGGGAAACTAAAACTTAACGTACGGATTACTCCACGTGTACATAACTTGTGTAGTTCAACTAGTATTATCAGGAAAAACACAAAATTTAACAAAGTACCTAAATAAAGCGACACGTGTTACTATACTTTACCTCGAAAAGCTTCACCCTTGGTGCCATTGCTTCACATTTTGGGGATTCTGCCACAACATAACATTGTTAGCTAACTCTGCCCTTCTATCCACCAGATGATCTAATCAAAGCTAATCCTAAATGCACATGAGACACGGCACATCCTTCGTGTCATCTTGTACCAAACCCATCAAGTATTTTCTTCTCAAATTCAGCCACAGACATCCTAAAGGAACAACATTCTTCTCTTCTTCTTCGTTCTCGCTCAAAGCCATATCATTCTCGATCTGATGGTCTAGCGTACTCGTTTCAAATTGTGTACACGAATCAAAAATCACACTACAATCTCTAACTGTGATAACGTTAGCTCATGCCGTCAAATATTTCCATGGCCTTCTCATGCAAATTCATCCTAATGTAATACTCCGTGGACGACGTCCAAAACCGTCCCACCTCGCCAGTAAAACTTGCTAATAAATAATCCCACCACTAATTATGGCATCCGCATTAAGCCTGCCCCAAGACCTACAAAACACACTTAAAAGACTTGAAAACTAAACACTTATTTGTAACTTTATAAAAGTTTCAGTTTTATGCAATTGAGAAGTGATGATTCAATTTGAAATTTCGCTAGTTGTTAGTTAATATTAGTGTCAAGGATTAAAAAATCTGGGAACTAAAATGAAACGATATTTCATAGTAAAAGATACAGACAATGTTAATTACCAAAAAAAAAAGCAAGAGAGTTAAAATGAGTTATATACAACTCAACTATAAGTTAAGAAAAAAAAAAAAAAAAAAAAAACGGAAACTAGATGGGATTCGGGAGGGTAGGTCTCCAACCAACAAAACGGCATTAACGTCAAACGACATGTCGTTGAAGCAACGGAATTGAGGGTTGGAGGCTCAGGCGATAACGGGACTCACTCACGACCATTATTGATTTATTTCCAAGGATTTCCAGATTTCTGCGGGACCCGCAAAACTGTCTTCCCATTAAAATACTATGTAACAGATAAGAAAGGAGACACCAGTTTCTCTCTCTCCCTCCTCCATGGCGGTCTTACACAGAGCTCCAACGTGCACTTCTCATTCTCGACTCCAACCAGCTCCATTGCTTCCCTCACTCAAGCTTCAACAACATCCTCTTCTCTTCTCTCCGTCTCTCTCTTCCTATTTCAGCTCCAAACGCCTCCGCAGCCATGGCGTCCGAGTTCACGCTTCTGCGAATGCCATCGCCGACTCCGGCAATGGCGCCGTCCTCGCTCCGGAGAAGAATCTCGATGTCACTCCCTATGGGAGGCAGTTTTTTCCTCTAGCTGCTGTCGTCGGTCAGGTACTGCTCCTCTGTCTCTCTATCTGGAAACGTTTTGATTAAGTTTGGCGCGATATCTGTTCGCGGCGAAGCAAGTCTTAATTGTGTGAATTTCTTGAAATTCTAGAAGTTATATATATATATATATATATTTATTTAGAGTATAGATGACTTGATTATGCAATTTTCTGCAAATACTGTCGTCAGAGCTTAGTGTTCTGTTTGAGTCCTTTGGCGAAATGAGAAAGAAAGAATCAGGAATTAGTGGAATTTGAATAGAAGATATCAATAATATCAGATGAAGAGTGAAGGCGTGTTTTTTATGCAGATGGTTAGAAAAATATTGTATAACATTCTAGATCTTATACTTCATTTTTCCTTTAAAATGAAATTTTTTTTTCTTTTTGAGGATTTTAGATATCAGGGTATAAATTTGTGTACAGTTCATATTACGTGATTATTATGCAACTTCAAAGATTTCCATTTGCAATGCATTCTGATTGTAAAGGTGATTTTATTAATGTTGATTAACCAGTTAAATCCGCACACTTATGTGTACTTTGTAAGTGCCTTCTTTTTTGTAGGATGCTATAAAAACTGCTCTTCTGCTTGGGGCCATAGACCGTGAAATTGGAGGGATCGCCATCTCTGGAAGACGAGGCACGGCCAAGACTGTTATGGCGCGTGGGCTACATGCGATTTTGCCGCCCATTGAAGTAGTTGTTGGTTCTATGTCAAATGCAGATCCGGCTTGCCCTGAAGAGTAAGGATACTGTGTAATAGAAGTTCATTTAGCTGAAACAGTTGTTTGCAACAGATGGAAGAAAAAATATAGTATGATAATTATCTTTTCCAAGATAGTTATGGCTTTGATTGTAATTTTCAAGGTGGGAAGACGGTCTAGCTGAGCGCCTGGAATATGATTCTGATGGCAATATTAAGACTCAAATTGTCAGGTCTCCTTTTGTCCAGGTATTTATTTATTTATTTATGTTAGGTGAGCCTTGTATTCGGGGTTATTTACTTGTTTAACCTACTTTCTCGTATCCAGATCCCACTTGGAGTCACAGAGGACAGACTTCTTGGATCTGTTGATGTTGAGGAGTCTGTGAAAACAGGGACGACTGTTTTCCAGCCAGGCCTTCTGGCTGAAGCTCATAGAGGTGTTCTATATGTCGATGAAATCAATCTCTTGGACGAGGGTATTAGTAATTTGCTTCTTAATGTGTTAACTGAAGGAGTTAATACTGTGGAAAGAGAGGGAATCAGCTTTAGACACCCATGTAAGCCACTCTTGATTGCTACTTATAATCCGGAAGAGGGAGCTGTCCGTGAACACCTACTAGATCGGATTGCAATCAATTTGAGGTACACACATTATATTTAGCATAAAAGGAATATGTTCCTTCCTTTTTATCTACTTTGACTTTCTAGCAAAGACGCTCTTCTTCTGCAGTGCAGATCTTCCACTGAGTTTTGACGACCGTGTTGCAGCTGTTGGAATTGCAACACAATTTCAGGAGTATAGCAATGAGGTTTATATGATGGTAGAGGAAGAAACGGAGTTGGCAAAAACTCAGGTAGTCATGAAGATAAAGAAAAGTATATTTTTAGGCAACTAGAGTACTAGGTTACTTCCAGCTTATGATGATTTGATAAGTGATAAGTTGTATGTCTTCTCCTTATATTGTCTTGCAAGCAATAGCGTTTCTTCATTAGGTTCTAAGCCCTATTGTAGTGGTAAATCTCTTCACGTTGGTTCTTATTGAACTTTATCATGATGCACGATAAAGTTTGTCCAAATAAAGAACGATGATTTGATTATGTTTTCACATTGCAGATCATTTTGGCAAGGGAGTATTTGAAAGACGTAACAATCAACAGAGAGCAGTTAAAATACCTGGTTATGGAAGCCCTCCGTGGTGTCTGCCAGGTTCTCACTACTACCCTCTTTCTTTATTTAGTACAACTTTTCATTGGTTTCTTTCCAAGAAGATTAACGGTGCGTTGGGATTGTTGTGCTTTTAAAGAATCACTACGAGTATGTTTGGTAGAGGGATTCGTTCCCTGATTCGAATCATAATTCGTAGTTCGCTACAGTATTTTCTCTCACAAAAAATACACGTAAATCGAAAATGGTTCGAATCACATGGTTTGAATCCTCCAACCAAACGTCATCACATAAAAGTTAGAAGCAGAAGCAAAATCTAAAAGCTACATATTCCAACCTTTCTAAATAGCTTAAAAAGCGCATTGGTCTTTGTGCAAAGTGCTTATCAACCTTTTAACCAAACACTATAGTTGTATAGGTTTTGTGCAAAGTACTTTTAGGAGTTGTAAAAGCAATCCCAAACACACCCTAAGTCAAATTTGCTGATCAGGCTCCCGTTAATTATTTACTCTCAATACTTGCATCATCTGCACAAACTTTTATTTCATTTTATTTTAGTCATCATCTAGTTTATTTAGGGAACGTTGAGCCATTGGTGAGGTTCTTTTGGGTAGACATGATTCTTGGTGTCAAGTACACAAACGTAGTGGACGATAGTTCTCACTGCTCATGAGACAGATTAATCATAAAAAGTCACTACTTGCTTGTTAGTGTTGGTTGCCGAATCGAATTCGGCTGCGGAAGCGTGGAGAAAGGCGGATCGTGTATAACAAAAATTTTCATAAAACTTTTGAGATACTCTATAGATTATATTAATTTATGCACGAATAAATTAATCGCATTAATTTATATATCAAGAACTCAATCCGGAAAAATATCTGGAAGCCGACTCGGATGATAACTTGAGTTCTTTGTCCACGAACAGTCCTTGCTCCGAGCTTTGTATTTAGAAAACCGAAGTCTTCCACGTCAATTTCTTGATTCCACGTAGACGTGTGTGTGGGCACACGTGAGACAAAACATGTTTCTGAAACACTCGAATTTCCACAAACACCAACGCATGCACGATGTGAAATTTTTTGGGAGAAAAAATTTTCCTCTCTTTTTCCTATATGAGAATTTCGGCCACCAACTTTTAGGGCTGAATAATTGTTTCAAAAATTGTGTCCACAATTCTCTATCATTCTCATATTTAAAGAGTAGAAGTCAAACTTCAAAAATGAATCAAATCTCTATCTCCTATTTGAATTTTGGAACAAAAAATTCATTCCTTTTATCCATAAGGTGGCCGGCCATTCCATTAGGGTTTCACCCTGTGTGTGGCGCCAATAACATATAGGGAAGGAAGAGAAATCATCCTTTATCCAATTTTAATTCAAATTCAAATTCGAATTTAAGTCAAACTTAAGTTAATTTGAATTCTAAATTGAACAACTTATCAAATAGGTTAAAAATGATAAATTTAAATTATGTTCCCAATTCAAATTTAAATTTAAATAATTACATTATTTAAATAATAATTAATTCTCAATTAATTATTTTTCGAATATTTAATTTTAGAATTTCGTAATTCTAAAATTCCTATTTTACCATTTGTGTCTGGTAGAATTACAAGGACGACGCGGGGACTAATGGACCTATAATCCCGAGCTCTAATAAAATTAATAATTAATTAAACACTTTAATTAATTAATTAATTATATTAATTTCAATAGTTACTCCACTATAAACTTGGAATTGAACTCTCGAAATTATAGACATTAATTACTTCTAAACTGCGAAGTGTCCATTTGATATAGTCATTACATATAGATCAATCCTCCATAAATAATTCATAATTAGAGTCAGGTAGAATCCGTTAACCTCTCTAATTATAGCTGCATCCTTGAGTACCATTGATTCTCTAATGGATAGTGATTCATAAAACACATTCATGAACCAGAGCGCTCTTACTAATCCAAGTATCGAATCAACACTCAAGAGAATTATTTATCTACTTCTTTCTCAAGAAAGAATGGATTCCATCTCGTATAATAACATTCCCAGCTACCTATTTCATCATGTCTCCAAAATACAAGGAATAGGATTCAGGGTCTCAGAATCCGTACCGAATAAATTAAAAGACATAAATCTATAAATAGGAGTTTGTAAGAACTCAGGATTAAGATCATTCTATATATGACCATCGGTAGACTAATTAGAATTTCTATGCTTAACGAAAATTATTAGAAATTCATATTTTGTCTGTGTCCATGTTTGACATAATCTTATTATGCGTAATACACTCATTCAATATCTCACCATATTAACAGTGTGGATAGCACCGTTCCATTCTAAATGAGAATGACATGTATTAATAATGTTTTAATTAAAGATTATGAACTTTAATTAAATTCATTATGAACAATGTTTTTGATTATTATCCTTAAACACTATCCTCTTGTATATAACACTTATATACTATGTTTAAGGTTACATAAATAATTACGGAATTTTCATTTGATATTCATAAAATATTCATAAATATATGTACATAAAATGATGAATAAACTCTTTTATTAATAAAATAATAAATATCCTATTACATCTCATGCTTCTAGTACATTATTCTCAACAATTAGCTATTACAACTATTACAGATTTTGGGGAAGGGGCCTGGATCTAACTTTTTTTCTTTTTTTGTTTTGTTTTGTTATACATCTCATGCTTCTAGTACATTATTCTCAACAATTAGCTATTACAACTGATACAGATTTTGGGGAAGGGGCCTGGTCTAACTTTTTTTCTTTTTTTGTTTTGTTTTGTTGATACAACATGGGATTGAACCCACAACCCCCACCCAAACCCCAGTGCCACTGGACCAAGAGGTCTTAGGCGACTTGGATCTAACTATAAGCCCTAATAAGCCTTTCTGCTCATTCTGGACTCCATTGTTATAGTCCTGCGCATCTGTATGTAGGCCATTATCAACTATGTTATAGCCTCTCAATTCTCAGGCATGGACACCCTTTGCCTTGATATTATGGTGCTTTTAAGATAAATTTAAATCAATCCAAGTATATCTGAACAAAATAATAGTACTAATAGATCTTTCCTAAAAATGGATTTTAACATGTTCTGCTTCCAAGTATCTTGTTGTCGTTTGCAACTATAATACATCTATTGCGATCTGCAGGGACACAGAGCTGAGCTATATGCTGCCCGTGTTGCAAAATGCTTAGCTGCTCTGGAAGGACGTGAAAGAGTTGGTGTTGACGACCTGAAAAAAGCTGTTAAGTATTTTTCTGGAAGATTTTTCACATGATTTCGTTTCATATATGCACTTCGCTTGTTATATAAGAGTATGCTCCAAAAATATGTGCTATGTCCAGGCATGAAGAATTGTAATTTATTCATTTTAAATTTCCAATCTAAATGCGTGTAATGTTAAAGTTCCTAGTACAGAATAAATATTTTGTCCCTACAATTAAATTTGTTATCATTTGTTTGTTAAATGAAATAACCATGTGTATTGTCAAGTTATACTGTCATTATCTGCTTCATTATCCTTTCACTTGATCGCATGCAAAATTTCGTTCCGACATATTTTGTACTACAGGTAGAACTTGTCATTCTTCCGCGTTCAATCATTAATGAAAACCCACCAGACCAGCAAAATCAACAATCTCCACCACCACCTCCTCCACAGAACCAAGATTCTGGGGAAGAGCAGAATGAGGAAGAAGATGAGCAAGAGGTTTGTTAATATTAACCAGATATTCTTTTGGGGGTACACAAGTATCCACTGTGCTTTCTTTTCTCTTAAGTCACTATGCAATTAGTTATCTCTAATTTTTAATTCCTCAATTATGTGTTACCTTTCGTATGTCTAAAGCTTTCAAAGGAATTACTTATTTTCCTATGATGCCAAACTTCCATGCAGGACGAAAATGACGAAGAAAATGAACAACAGCAAGATCAATTACCAGAAGAGTTCATATTTGATGCTGAAGGGGGTTTGGTGGATGAGAAACTTCTTTTCTTTGCACAGCAAGCTCAAAGGCGCCGAGGGAAAGCTGGTAGGGCAAAGAATGTTATATTTTCAGAAGATAGGGGACGATACATTAAGCCAATGCTTCCAAAGGTTAGTACGTCACCTCCTCCTCTCCTTTTTATTTGTTCTAGCTGTACCATCCAGAAGAGAGTTATAGCTACCTTTCTAATTTGAGCTTCTTATACATTTTATCCTTTTTCTCTTCTTCTTCCTACTTCATGACCCAAATTTTCTTTACATCATTGACGAGTGTTTTTTTTTTTTTTTTTTTTCCTCTTAGTTCTGTAAGAGAAAGTTCCTTCCTTCCTTTTGTTGGCTTTACTAAGACTTCCCGTAATAGTGGGAAAGCTTAAATTCTTCCTCTAGAGTGATTCCAGATTCTCTTCCAAGAGTCTCAGAAATCTTAAATATAATATCAAATGGTTGCTTTACTATACCGTCTTTTCTAATCAAGCTTTTTCCTTCAACAGGGCCCTATAAAGAGATTAGCTGTTGATGCAACCCTGAGAGCAGCTGCACCATATCAAAAGTTGCGTAGAGAAAAGGACACCCAGAAAAGTCGGAAAGTTTTTGTGGAGAAAACTGACATGAGGGCAAAGAGAATGGCACGAAAAGCAGGAGCACTGGTATAAGAGCCACGGTTTTGTTACTTCCATTTCTTTCTATTTAATCAAAGGAAAGGATAAGAGAAAACGGGATTAAACTTATATAAGTTAGTCTCCTCTCCAATTAAATATGATTTATCTGTCAAGGATGTCGACCAAATTCTTTACTTGGTGACAGTCTACATTTAAGGAATCTTAGTTGAAAAAGTTCCCATGCAGTTACTTGGAATCATGCAGTTACTTGGAATCGTTCATTGTTCTAACATTTACTTCATGACAGGTTATATTTGTAGTTGATGCAAGTGGAAGCATGGCACTGAATAGAATGCAGAATGCTAAAGGTGCTGCACTAAAGTTACTAGCAGAAAGTTATACAAGCAGGGATCAGGTGACTTAGAACAAATTATTTTTAGCTTTTAAGGTCTCATTAGTTAAGCATATGTGTTTCAAATTTATATCTTTATTGGATCCACCAAAATATTTTATGTCATGGTTGTGAGTTTAAGAAGTTCTCTTATGAGCATTGGCTTGTTTTGAAAGATGAACTTTTTATTCTGGGTAAAAAGTGACTTTGCCGATGAGCAACCATACTGCTCGTTGTTATTTGCTTGAATTTTTTTCTTCTTTGTCCTTGTGTTTTGGGCCAGCCTCATGGTCACATCATCATCATCATCATCATTAAGGGTACATAAGCTAGTTGTAAATTATTAATTGAAATATAGATCCATGAGTGCACGTTGTAGGGCCCATTTCTGTATCAATTTAATTGTCTAAACACTGCAATGTTTATACGACAAGAGTAATAGTAACAGAAGATCAAATGGAACAGAAATTGCTCTTTTTAGGTTATCGGCTCGCATGATTCAAGAGAACTATAGAATTGAGAGGAGAAAATTATAGTTTACAGTAAACATATAATAAAAAATTCATTCATTAGAGTGTGCAGTCTGATATGCACGCCCAACGGCATATCAAATTGAATGGTTCAATATGTGAGAGCTTTATTACACCTTGACAGTTCAGAAGTAGGTTTATTTTGTGAACATGAGAGTAATCAATTCTGATCATAAAGGATACTTTATCGCTCTTCATTCTGATTGAACTCCTTTTTTTTTGTTCTTTTTCATGCACTATCTAAATCATTTATGATACATATTCTTCGCGTTCTAAAGGTAAGCAAATCAAGATGATAATCATGATGAGATACTTCTCTTTGCTTATATACTCTCCCCAGAAATACCACATCTGAGTCTTTGAATTAAATGCAAATAGGTTTCTATTATTCCTTTCCGTGGAGACTGTGCAGAAGTTATTCTTCCTCCTTCTAGATCAATTGCAATGGCAAGAAAACGTCTTGAGAGACTTCCATGTGGTGGAGGTTCACCCCTTGCTCATGGTCTCACCACGGTATGTGGATTTGATATATACATGACTAACAGTTCTTTTAAGATTTGAAAGAGATAAATTAAAATGTGCAGGTTTTGACATATTTCAATTAAGCATCTCTATAGTTGGTACGTATTTGGTCGGTGTAATATGAATACCTGCTTATGAATCTCTTGCGTTGATTCTCTCACAAGTATACGTTGGTGTCAGCGTCTCCTCTAAATTCATTTTAGATTAACTTGTGAAGAACCTCCGAATATTTGATTGATTGTTGACATCTTTTACTAATAGCTTAGCTTTTGGTGGTGCAATTATGCTAGTTTTATTCTCTGCACACAGTTGCATGGGTAGCATCTTTTACTAATAGCTTAGCTTTTGGTGGTGCAATTATGCTAGTTTTATTCTCTGCACACAGTTGCATGGGTAGCTCCCATAACTGAGCACTCTACGAACGTAAATCTCCTTAGGCTGTCAGGGTCGGACTAAATGCAGAAAAGAGTGGCGATGTTGGACGCGTAATGATTGTTGTATTGACTGATGGTAGAGCAAACATATCACTGAAAAAATCCACCGACCCCGAAGCTGCTGCTGCTGCTGACGCCCCCAGACCTTCAGCTCAGGAGTTGAAGGTAAATTTTACTTTCATTGTCCGCGAATCATGTTGCTAACTTGTCTAAATAAAACCTGCTTGTTGATGGTGCACTTGTGAGATTATACTTCCAACTTAATAAAAGTCACGACAGAAAATCCTGCTTAAGATTACCTCACAAAACATGCAACAATGCATAACTATCCGATGTGAGCAAAAAAAAAAAAAAAAACCCTCACTATCTGAAGAAACAAAGGTTACTTAATGTATCAGATGCTTAAACAATTTTCTTATTATACTAGTTTGTAAAACAAATTTCTCATATGTGAGCACAAACTTTTAAATGCCATCACTTGTAAAAACCAAGCATACTAGAAATAAAACAAATCTAATACTTTGGTTATTGAGACATGAAAATGTCTCCATCATATTCATTATGTGGTCACTTGCCAACGGTATCAATGAAGGATGAGATTCTTGAAGTGGCCGGTAAAATATACAAAGCTGGGATGTCACTTCTCGTCATCGACACGGAAAACAAGTTCGTCTCAACTGGATTTGCCAAGGAGATAGCTAGAGTAGCTCAAGGTTTATTTTCACTTAATTCATCCATTGTTCTTTGATCTACAGACTTCAACACAATCTCATAATGGTTTATGAGGCTTATTCTTGCAGGAAAATATTATTACTTGCCAAATGCCTCGGATGCCGTCATCTCGGCTACGACGAAGGAAGCTTTATCAGCCCTGAAAAGCTCATGAATGCTTTGATCTTCTTTGAGGCTAATCTGACCAAAAGAGTGGCTTGAATTAATTTTCAAAGCATTCATATTATTGCAACCTATCTCACATGTAATTTAACTTGATGAGATCAACTTTCTCATTTAGCGGCTCCATGTATAAAATTTCAGTTTTGTGAGTTAAATTCACTGTCATCTGCTTCCACTATACTTGCCTTGAAGGGACTCGTTCAATTATTTTCAAGCATAATACTAGTGATACTAATTCTAATCTCAACTTTCATATCAAATTCTAAGTTGTTTAAAAGATTGGCACATCAATTAATTGCACCTATAATAATAAAACGACAACTCAAAAGTTTGTACAAAAATTGGAATTAAAATTGTCTCTAGCATATGTCTTTTCTTTACTAAAAAAAAAAAAAAAAGAGGTTTTCTTAAATATTTTTTCTTCGAACCTATCCATTAATGTTTAAGTTATTTAACTTCTTTTCTTAAACTCCGAGCCGTCATTTTTTTTCTCATGAGTATTTTTAACCAATAATTTTATTATTATTGTTGTTGTTGTTGTTGTTGTTGTTGTTATTATTAACTTTCATTCTCTGCATTTCTTTTCAAGTACTTTGATATGGAGTTAATTACATATATGCCTCTTACGCAGAGGAAAAAAAAAAGTGTCCCCAAGTTGTGATATGTGCGTATTAGTCTGTAAAATAACTTATAATGATATGAGGAATTTATGGTAGGGATGTTTTTTCTCCCTACCTGTAGGGTACAATCCAATGGATGATTGTGGTTAAATTTGTTGTGGGGCCATGGTTATACAACCAAAGTCTAGAAATGAAGCAATGATATGAGGTCTTTTTTTTTTCTTTTTTTTTTTTTTTTTTTTTTTCTGGAAACAATATTTGTCTCTCTTAGTGGGTTCGAACTCAGAACATTGAAAATTTTTTTTTTTTTTCCTTTTTGTTGTCGTTTTTTCTCTGATAGATTCAAGGCATGTGTTGGCCCATCAACCATGAAAAATTTCTTGCTGTCTTTTTTTCCCTAAAAGATCCACGGCAGGTGTTGCCCATTAGCCATGGAACAATCAGTTTGAAATCTCCAGTTTCTCACCAGTAACCAACTCCATTCCCAATAAAAAAAAATCATTTTTAATCAAGTCCTAATATTCAAAAGTGAAATGATTTTTATCAAGTCATAATATTCAGAAGTTAAAATCTTGGTTAACTTGAAATCGTAAACGAATTAGATAAAAAACAATTTAGAAAAATGATACGAAAAGATGGACAAATAGATTAATAACGAATCAAGTCTTAATATTTAAAATATGGAATATGGGTTGCAAAATGGCCGATGTGTTTAATTAAAAATTTTGGTATTCCTCTTCTACTCTCTTCCCATCTCCACATTCAAAATAACCAATTTTGACATATCAGAAGCATGAGTTCTTCATCAAACTTGGACTTGAATTATCAAAGGTTCTTGACGCTGGAGAACGCCAGGGAAATCTTCCTCATGCGGTCATGTTTCTTGCAGATATGGATCCTTAATGGTTCTTGATGCCGAAGGATGCTGGCGAAATTTTCCTCACATAGTCATGATTCTTGTGGATCTTGATCATTAATGGTTCTTGATGCTGGAGAATGCCGGAGATTTTTGTGGATCATAATCATCAATGGTTCTTGACGCTGGAGAATGTCGGCGAAATCTCCCTCACGCAGTCACGATTCTTGTCGGTGTGGCAATCAGCGACCAACTACCCCCGAACAACGAGATCCAGTCTCGATGCCGATGCTCTAAGAGCTCCACTTGCCATGGGCTCAATCACATCAAATCTAATACGTGGAGTTTGCATTTCGGTCACAATCTTCATCACCATTAGATCTCTCTCTCTCCGTGTTCCGATCTCTTGTCATCATAGTTGGAGAAGACTGGTGGTCCTTCATTTTTTTCGATAGGAAATTAACTAGAAGTTTTCCTTTTAACTGATGACATTAAAGCTTTATAATTTTTTTATGTTTTATTTTTTAATTTGATATTGAATCGTATGTGAGCGGTTTTTTTTTTTTAATTTAGTAATTTTTAATCTTTTTCAACCATTCAATTGAAATTGTAGGGTGTATATTTCGCAACCTACTGATAGGGGAAAAGTACACCTCTCTACTATAGAATCTCCCTAATGATATTATCATATTACTACTAGTTGCTAAGAAAACTAACTGCCCTATTAATTATAGAGAAATAGTAGAAAATAAGCTGAAAAGTTTAAGAAAGTGTATAGGTTAATTTTTAGTTATAAAAATTAATAGGTCATACTTTGTCAAGTTATGGTTCATAATTAGATAAGTTTTAAATAAACTTGTCAAGTTATGGTTCATAACCAGACAAGTTATGGATAAAAACCGTGAATTATGGACAATAACTTGTCAAGTTATGTTTCATAACCAGACAAGTTATGGACGAAAACAGTAATTTGACATATTTATTAACTTATGTAAACTATTGCTCTATTAATTTTAATTCATCTCAAGTCTTGACCTATTTCTCTCTTTCTCCCTTAATTATATAAATTCATAATCACCCACGTAAAAGGTTACATTCGGAATACTATATTCTCAACAAACATAAAATGGAAAAAAAAACGTAAATATTGTTAAATGAAAAACATATCTTAAATAAGGATTTTAAAAATGATTATTTTGTGTAATTATTTCTTAGGGATTTTGTAGTATATAGCAGGTTTCATAAACTTGAGATAATAAATAGCATAAACAAAGCTTGTTTAATTATCATCCACATTAAAATGTTTTAAATTCAAAGTTCAAACTTCATTGTAATAAACCAAATATTAAGTTAAGCACCAAAGTTCATGTACATTATAAAGTAAACTGTCTCATAGTAAAATATCCAAATCTAAAGCAAACGCAAATTAGGATTAGCACTTAATAACGACGTCGTCTGATTGGCAGTGGAATCTGACCCAGTACCCCGAGTATCGACCCGATTTGGTACTCGCACTCCCATGGAGCCACCAAAGGTATTTTCTTTCGCCTCAATTTCCCATATTTCTCAGCAGCCATACACAGGCTTAGCTTTAACCAGTTTAAAAGTGCTTTCTTTTTCTTTTTTTTTTGAAGTTTAGGGCTTCATTCGAACAACTACGCCATTGTTTTTTGCTCCTTTTCTACTGATTATAGTTGATTATTTGGTTTTAAACACTTATTTTGCTTCTTAAATTGAAATTCCGTTGTGATTTAATCGCAGATGGAGGTTCTCTACTCGAAGCTCTACGATAAGTACACTCAATTGAAGGTTTTTTCTCTCCTCCTTTGTTGTTGTTGTTGTTTTTTTTTTCTTTTTTGTTACTATATGGAAAACTGAATAATTTGTTGCGACATAGACCTAGTTTCTCCCATTGGTTTGAGTTATGCTATGTTAAATCACTGGAGAAACTGATTTGAAGAGCATGAACATCATTTTCACTCGACCAAGATTTGAACTTTTACTTGTACATTTTAAATTTCATCTTTTGTTCAAAGGATAATTAACAATTTTACATCACGGATTTTAATTTCTTAGTAATCTTGCTTCTATATGCTCGGTTGCTTCAAAACTAAAGTATGGATGGGTAATTTTGATGTCTGAATAACATGTCTTTTAGGGAAATTCCTATACCTTTAAATGGTTCGTCCGCTATAACTGACATTTATTCGAGGATTAATTTTGAAATCGACTAATGGGGTTTTTAAGTTACCCACTTGAAAATATAAGTTTACTCGAATCCAACTTGAGAATCTTGCACCTGTTTGTTTTCCAAACCTTTTGGCTACATGTTCATTCTCACAAAAATATGAATTTCTGTTCAAATTTTATGTTCAAACCTATAAACTAAACAAGTAGTTTATTGGTACTGAAGTGGATTTACAACTAGTATGCAAGGTCGAATGAATTACAATAAGTCTCATAACACGCAAATTTAATAGGGTGATTGACAAATAGAAAGTTTAGTTGGCATTATGCTTTTTGTAAATACTTGCTCACGTAGCCATGTGTATGGTTGGTAAATTATGTTAAATTATGTGAGGGAATTTGATAGTGTTAGGGAAGTAGTTTTTTAATCACCATCATCATCATCATCATCGTCATCATTATTTTTATTATTATTATTATCTTTTTTTTTTTTTTTTTTTTTGCTCCTCTTGCAGGCAAAAAGATTGACTGAACTGGATGAGGTCAATAAAGATCAAGAAGTGAAATTTGTGAACTATGTAGCTGGTATGTAGTTTTTTTCCCACTATATATATTAGTTTTGCCTGAAACCATCTTCAGATCTCTCACAGGTCAAAAGGTCCAGAATCTCTTTTCACTCAACCATGCTTTCAACAATGTCTCTTAATTTTCTTGAGAACTAACCAAACGACTCTTCAATTTGTTATCAGATGAGAAAAAGAAAATTGTTTGAGCTAGCAATTTAGGATCTTTCATGAAATGAATCTGCAAAATTAGCTAGATTAAATTGATTTGATCCCCTTGTTGTCTCAAGGTTGTATCTTGGATGACCTTGTTTCTTGTAGTTCTTCAGTAGTGAGCTTGCAAGAAAGTTCATAAAATTGTGAAAAACATATAGGCCAATAAAAAATGCATAATGTGCTTTTTATATTGATACATAGGTGGGCATAAATGATTCAAAGTAAGCATTTTTGTGGTTAGTACTAGATTTAGAATCATGGCTGAATTTGCTTTACTGTTTCTATACAAACACCAGCAAGCCTCAATTTTTATTTATTTTTATTTTATTTTATTTTATTTTATTTCGTCTTTCTAATAAAAAACAATTTTCTCGTTTATTCTTAATTTTGCAGCGGCAGAGGAGTTAATTCAACACTTGAAGGATGAAAACAAAAAATTGCATTCTCAAGTTAATGAATTGAGAAGCGAAGTTGCCTTGACTAGGCATGTGATCCTAAATTATTTTTTGCTTTTGTCTAGACAGAATATGATCAACAATTTCTTCTTTGTTTTAAGTGTCAAACTTAAAACGTTTGTTATAACTGCATTGGTTGCAGGGTTTCTCAGGATGAGCAGTGTGCTATGTATCAGAAACTGTGGATGGAAGAAAGCCGGAGGAGTAAGAAATCCTGGTTTTTGTTCAGGATTTAGTTTGAATATTTGAATTCGGGCAAATATTTATGCATCTAAATAAACATCTAATGTTTCACATTCAAAGGTGAGGCGCGGTCCTTTTCTAGTGAAGGATTTAAGGACACATTTCTGGCTGATTGCTCATCCTTTAAAAGATTTTGGTGTCTTTCCTTTGTCTTTTATATGGTGAACCGAGAAGCTTACCCAAGTGTTCTCCTTAGCTAAGGAGTAAGGACAGCTTGTCCTCGGTCTTCTTTTTGTTTTACGTTTTTATTTTCTTAATAGTGATTGATGTTTTCTATAGTTTTAAAGGGAAATAGAAGACTCAGGGTTATCATTTTCTGTTATTTTTTCAACACGCGTACACATGAATCAAATTCTGTTTTCCATATCGTTGTTTTTTTAGAGGTTTGTTCTTGAGACTCAAGACACCTTAATCTTTATCCTGAAAGTTGCATGAATGGCTAATCATTTGTGTCGTTGCTATAGATAAGAGCATTGAATTATCCATTGGCCATCAGTGGTTGCACAAGAGATTCCCACTGTATATTCTGTCGTATATATTGTTATCATTGACCATTGTCATATGGAGAAATTTCTGTTGTTTTTTGCATTCAGACAATCATGTATATCATATATTTACTAGTTTCACTTGAGAGAGCTTACATTTATGTCAGATAAAGTGCTTTTGGAAGAGGTTGAGAGGCTGAAAAAGCTGCAGCAGGACAATGCTCTTAGCAGTCAAAAAGACGGAAATAACAGAGAGATGAGTACACCTAGAGACGATAAAATTGTATCACAGGAATTATATGATAGCTCATCCGGAACAATGACAAGTAAACGCAGGAGGTGTTCTGAAACTGAAACGGGCATGGCCAGACCTTGTGGCAGTGGTCAAGACAACGCTATCCTAATAGCATCAGCGAGCTTGAACAAGGAAGGTTTGACTAGTTCGGCTCATGTGAGCATTCAACAGGTATTTTTGTAATCTTGTATTTTTGGTAATCTTTAGACTAGTTCTTATTAAATGATTCTTAATTTGCAAATTTTCAGCCAGAATGCTGTAGAAGAGCTATTGACAGAACAAGTATGTTTCTGAAATTGAAGTTTCTGCAACCGTTACTTGGTCTCTAGGTTTTTGGATCATGATGTGTTGTATGTGCATTTTGCAGGTGATGGTTTACATGACAATGACACTGCCAACTGTCTGTTTCAAGCCCTTGTTGAGTACTTGGTGGGCTTGAAATTCTCTGTCGTTACTCAAAATGAAGGAATATGCATATCGGCTGAGCACCAATCAAGTGGTAACTGTTAAGATATCTGATTTTCCTTCCCTGGAATTTTGCTTCCGCACTTTGCTGTTTTATAAATCAACTCTGCTTACATTTCATTACTATCCACCTTTGACACGTATAACAAAAATATGCAGAAAAAATGGGTTTTTGCTACTTATCTTTGCTATATAAATTACTTGGTATTTGATCATTGCTTCCATTAGACCATACTCAGTACTGATTAGTGCTTTCTTGTAACATTTTCTGTTTTTGTAACTATCATTTATACGAATTTCAAGTTTTGTTACTAATTGGAATATGACTTGACAATTAGGTTTTCTTCATCAAGCATTTTACTGTGATCTGGTGCAGAAACAGAACTTCACTAATGGTTCTGGCTTTTAACAGGTTACTCCTTCAGCCTGACGTGGGTAGAGAAGGAACATGGAAAAGAAGTAGAACTGCTATACCATGTCTTATCGCTAGGAACATTAGAGCGGATAGCCCCACAGTGGATGAAGGAGGCCATCATGTTCAGCACAACCATGTGCCCGATCTTCTTCGAAAGGGTATCCTGTGTCGTGAAGCTCTTCTCGTAGACTTTTCTCTTTACTTCTCAAGTTGTATATTGCTGTTCTTATGAATATGATTTAACCTTGATTCTTTGTAAATTGAACTGCTTGTCTTCGGGTTTGAAACCACTACGATAAAGATGATCTTGCAAGGCGGAGGCAATATGAAGAATAATTTCCTTTAGGAAAACATGTCTTGCAATGTCTGATTCCGATTTGAAGTGGCGTGCTTTTTTATGGAAATGGGTTTGGAATTAGGGGCAATTGCATTCCTTTCATTGTTAAATTAATCACGTGTATTCTTGTTTATGTAAAGCTAGAACAGAAGCTCAACTTTTAGTTGCAATTTCAGTTTCCTCTATTAGTTAGTGCGGCTCTCGTTTAGGTTTTGTTTGCTATTGTTATATTTGAAAAGCTACGTTATATATTTTAAAGTTGAGTAAATTTCAAGAGAATGTAAATGGATAAATTATGTCAAGAGATTAACACCAATATAAAACAAAGAGAATTCGTTCTAAGATGCTTTGTTGTTGCTATATGATCTAATATTGTCATAAATATCTATTTTATTTTGGGGGAATGTGGTAACTTTTGCAAAATGAAAACATACAAGATAATTATTTCAAGTTTATGGAAAAAAAAAACCAATTAAAGACAGGGAATTGTCGCCGGAGAGTAGAAGCCTCCAAAGAACCACAACAAGACACATGAAGGACCAAAGGGTTGGAATATAAGTATTGGAATACGAGTAATGTTAGGGTGAGTAAAGCCTCCAAAGAACCACAACTAGACACATGAAGGACCAAAGGGTTGGAATATAAGTATTGGAATACGAGTAATGTTAGGGTGAGTAACAGAGAGAATGTTATAATAATCTTTTATGTTAAGTTTCAACCGATCAGATGACGGTGCTTTGAATAAAAGTATTGGGAAGAGGACCAAAAGGGTTGGCAACGCCTACCGGACCCGGAAGCTCTGATTGAACATGAAGAACATCGCAAGCAATCCTCCCAAATTGTCATAAGATTTTCTCATATAAACTTTTAGAGCAGACGACCACCTTTCCCTTTCTTGTTCCAAAGATGGTGCAAAATCTCATGTTGACACCAGGAACATTGATCAAAAGGAATTTGTAAAATTTTCCTCATCGTTACCCCAATTTTTGAAGTTACAAGTGCAAGCAAAATCTTGGAAAGTATTCCCATTTTAGGGGCTGAAGATTTTTTTATTTTTATTTTCATTTTTATGCAGTTTATCAAATTACAGCTTTTCATTGCATGTCCACTAGTTAGGAAGCACATTGTTTAAGGGAAAGAAACCAAATTAAACTGGAAAATGAGGAGAAAAAATTAAAATAATGGTGAACAAATAACAAAAGCGAAGAGAACTAAACAGCTTCGAAAAACCTTCCCCCCTTCATTTTGTTTTTATTTTTTTTTTTTTTTGAGTTTCTTGGTAGGACAAAATTAAACTACCGATAGTTTAATATTTTTAGTTATCAAATCTATATCAAAAACCGTCTACTCCACATATTTTTTTAATATGATGTGATTTTAATTAAATTCAACGATAAAAAACTAACCCTATCAGTAAGAATGCTACCCTACCGTAGAAAGTGCTTTTTTTTTTTTTTCAAGATCAAAGATATTTATGTCCTTTCAGCCGAGGTTCATGATAAAATGTACTCATCTTGGTAATTGAAAACTTCCGCAAATTGGTAATAGAGAAAAAATGCGACGTAATGAGACCACAGGGCTTAAAAACTTCTGAAATGCAGCAAAATTTTCTAGCATCCGAAGTCTGAGACGTTAAAATACCATAAAAAGGAGATAAAACTCTTTTCAACTTCAAGAACAATTTTAAGCTTAGACTAATTCCAATGACAATAAATGCTCACAATCTCTGAACCAAGGAAAAACTCTGCCGAAACCTAATTCATTCTCCTGATGAGCTCGTTGATGTAGTTCTCGCGGTTTCCAGCATCTCCACCCTCAACATAGTGGTTCCTCTTCTTTTTCAGACCACCCAATGGTGCCTTGAGCTTAAATGGCCATAAGAAGTTATTTGCCTCCTTAAAATGAGGTCCGACGGTCGCTATCTCGTGAATGAGATCTTCCACGCAGATAATTCCATACTTGCCCAATGCCTGTGAGACAACAAGGGTGTTTAGCAAAAATGTTTAGAAATAATTATTTTTCCAAAGAATGTGCCAAAAAGAGAGAAGGATAACAAACCTGTTCGATTATGGAGTTGTCGGTCAAAGCAGTTCTTTGCTTGTTCAGCTTTCCATAACCTCTCTTATAAATCAGTTCCCTCACGCTCTTCAAATTCGGGTATCTAGAATCACGCATAACAATTTATCAAAGAAATCGTTGAACTATAAATTGTACTGATGTCGAAAAAACGGACCAATCAAGCATACCCGAATGTCACATAGGGTTCGACCCTGTGGAGCATGTTCACGGTGGCTTTGTTCACTTTAAGGAAGACACCATTGAAGATCTGTTTAGCAGAAAATAGAAGATGAAAAATCAGGTCCTACCATAATAGTACACCTTGAAGTCAAATTTCCGGTATTACAAAACAAGCAAAAACCTGTGCTTTATCACAAATACACTGCTAGAAAAACAGGGAAGAAAAGCATAATGACTAATCACATGAGGAAGATATTATTACTAACGGGTTTTCTGAAGAAAAAAATGGTGAAAGCCTCTTTATTTGTTTACTTAAATACAGTGTAAAAATATAGGAAACTAACCCTATCTCCTATATCGTAAGACATCTCAAAAATATTCCATCACAAAATCAACTTTCAGAATATAATTGTAGGATAACATCATTGGCATAGCATGTTTCCAGGATATGGACAAAAAAAGGGCAAGGGAACTGTTTAAACATGGCATGGTGTTTTAGTTTACGGACTGAGAGATCCAACAAATTACTTAGGGCCCGTTTAGTTCGCTGATTCGAGTTTTTAATTCGAGTTGAGATGTGATTTTATGTGAGAGCTTTTTACTGTAGCAAAAAAGTTAGATGTGATTGTTTGTGAGAGCTTTTTACTGTAGCAAAACTCGAATTCTAAATTCGAATTAGCGAAATGAACGGGGCCTTAGTAGTTCACTTCAAACAAGAAAGGAAAGCATTGTTTTACTAACGCACAAACAAAGCCAAATGTCCATTATTAGCTTTGAGTAACCAATGATTTAAGGAATCAGAAGATCCACCTGTCTCAACCGCAGGAGCTGCAATATCTTTCTCGTCTTCGGATGCATTGCATTAATACTGAAAAATTTTATTTCAAATCATAAGAGCAGAAGAATATCAAAAATTCAACAAAACAAACTAAACGAAATCAAGGACATACATACCCACGGATACGAACGATGAACAGAAGCTTAGCCTCGGGCTCAACATAAAATCCTCCTTTCAACTTAGCCTCACGCTTTAGCTGGATCAGCTCCTTCTCCTAAAGAACAAAGGAAAATGATATGAAGACTTCGTTTGCTTAGCAAGTTGAAATTTATGCGATTTGAACCTTTTTGGTAACTGAAAAATCTCAATTTCTAACGGTAGCAGAAGGGCTTAAATCGCGAAATTGACGGGGGAGCCAAACCGCAAATTTTGGGGCTTAAATCAGATTTTTCAATCCAAACACAATCCGAATGGAATGAAGTAGTAATTACCTTCTCAGCATATTCCTTAGAATACTGCTTGGCTCTGTTAAAGATGAGCTTTCTGTTCTCAGCATTCTTCTTTTTCAAAGCCTCAAGCTCTTGCTTTTTGGCCAAAGCCCATTCCTCTTCCCTCTTTTTCTTCTTCAACACCGACTCTGGAATCACTGTCTTAACTTCTTCAACCATCTACAGCACCACAAAATTTAGAAATGGAAATTAACAAGAGAAGTAATAAATACCCAACAAAGTTATCACATCAAATTAGCACTGGAACAAATCCTCACAACATCGATATACAAAATTACAAATTGTCGTAAAATACCCACATCACAAATCCTCACAACCATCACAATTCCAAAATTACAAAATTTAGGAAATGGAATTAACAACAAAAATAATAAATACCCAACAAATTTATCACACCAAATTAGCACTAGAACAACAAATCCTCACAACATCAATACACAAAATTAAAAAGTTTTGTGAAATACTCACATCACAATTCTCGCTAATTGTACTTTTTTTTTCTTCTACAACAATTCATTTCATCATTTCATTTTCTTTCCAATTCTTTTTTTTTTTTTGTACAAAGATGCAGTTTTTCCCATTCCTCTTGAATCAACATTAACACAGGAATACATTTAAGAAGAAAAAGAAAGGAAACAACATCATTTTGAGGATAGGCGAATATAAAGTGAATAATTTTACCTTGAAAAGCTGTTGATACGAGTTTGTGCCGCAATCGAGAGAGTAAGCTTGGAGATGGCGGACTGAAACTGATATATGTGTAAACTCAAGGGTTAGGGGTTTTTCTATTAGACTGGAATTGCTCAAACGACGGCGTTTTATCATCTAGATTTTCGTTTCTCTTTACTCTAGTCCAGTGTAGTCGGGTCGGGTTGGATAAGGTCGGTTGTGTTGGACCAAATACCAATTACCAAGCAAGCAAGATTTTAAAACAAAACGCTAAGGAAATAAATTATGTACCAATGAATATGATGTTAAATGCAAATATTCAAATCATGATCTTTACTTTAAACATGTTTCAAAAGAATATTATCACTCTTTCTTCCGTATATAAATACTGTTAACCAAGTTATTAGTCTTCATGGTAAAAAGAAACTGTAACAAATTGTAGATTTATGAAACTAAATTAAGTAAATAACATATTTTAAAATTATTTAAAATGAATAACAATTTACCGTGTAAATATTTTTTAGTAAAAATAATTTAATTGGTAAGAAATTTTTATTTACGTAGAAAAAATCTTTTTACTAATCGTTAAAAGAAAATTTACGTGGAAAAAAATCATTTTAGTAATCGTAAATAAAATATATATATACAATAAACTGTTATTTACTTCAAATTGTTTTAAAATCTGTTATTTACATATTTTAGTTTTACAAATCTGTTATTTTCTACATTCTTCCTTATAATTCTAATGTAAGAAATATTACACAAAAATGATAATTGAATTAAGTGTTATTGCGATTAATTTTGATATGAAGAGTATTGATGTTATCTCAATGAAACTTTGAAACACTAGATAGTTTTTCGAAAGAATGGAAAAGAATGATTGTCCTATAAAAATAGAATTTTTTGGGCTGAATACTCACTTTTGTAGCATTTGTTACGTGATAGTCGGTAGTAATCGTATTGAGAAAGTGATATATGGTAGTATTTGAGTCCTAAAAAGTCAGTATTATCACATTTGGTTGTATACATGCATTTTTTTTTTCTGCAACATGCATTTTTTTTTAACTCTTAGCTAGGAACAATATAGTACTGTGTTTGTGCATAGAAAGTATTGTTGTTAACGAAAATGTTATTACTATTAAATCAATAAAATTATGCTAAAATTAAAGGGAAATTAGTAAAATCATCGACCAATTTTCTCTTTTAGCAAATAGTTGGAGTGCTTCCTGGCAAAGAAGCTTGAGGAGACTTTCTCCATGTGTGAAGCCGAAACTAAAGCAATTTCCACCATTCTTTTATGCACCTTAGACATTGGTCTAAATTTTTAATTTGTGAAAATTGATGCATCAACAAACATCCAAATTATGAAACGTTTTTTTTCCCTTGTAATGAACTTGAATTGTTATTGTATGACGTATCTAGCTCATTATCTTTTTTTTTTTTTTTTTTCTTTTCTGGAGTTAGGATATGTCATGTGTATAAGAAAGCTAATAGAACTGCCCATTCCTTGGCTGCTTATGCTCTCTATATTGATGATTGGCTATTTTGGTTGGAGGAAACTTTAACACTCATAAAATCTGCTATTAGAACTGATGTTTACTCTCGTCAATAATAATAACAGTTTCTATTCTTAAAAAAAATAGTTGCGGTGCTTCTTTATAAAACCCTAACCAATGGTTGAATTCCACAAAAACTAACTTCAGTAACTCTCAATTAATAGAATTTGTCAGACTTTAAAAGCATCCTTAACAAGCCCCAATTGAGGTCCTTTCTTTTTCCGAACTCAAGACCTCAACTTCAATTATCATTAGACTAAGGCCTCGTTCGCTTCGCGGATTCGAGTTTTCAATTCGATCTGAGATGTGATATTTTCTGAGAGTTTTTAACTGTAGCAGAAAAAGTTAGATGTGACATTTTCTGAGAGTTTTTAACTGTAGAAACCTAAAATTGAAAACTCAAATCTGTAAAATGAACAAAATATAAGTCTACAATCACAAATCATGTGAAGTTAATGATCACGTGGCATATATTCAGAGAGCATTGGGATCACACGATTATACTCTTCTTTCATTTTAGCATCATTTGAGCCCTAAACCAAAACATGATTAGATTTTTTTTTCTCTAAGAATACAACTGAGAAATTCAACTTTAATCCAAATTCTTATATTAATTTTGAGCAGTCATTCTTTTATTTATACTAGTTGAGGCCACGTTCGATATACATAGGGTAATTCTATAAGTTCTATCTTTGCATTAAGTTTTAGTTATTGTGTTATTACTTTATGTTTTTTTTTCATATTAGAGATATTAGTTAGTTGTTAGTTAAGAATAACTTTTAAAATAATAAGGATTGCACAACGAAAAAGTTAAGTAGGGACTTTTGAAAAACTATATTTTAATGGGAATATGAGGGTGAAAAAACAATTTAACAAAAGTGCATAAAAAAAAGACTATGTTATAGAGAATCTTTAAAACAGTGAAAATGAGGAAATAAGCAAGAATATATATTGAGAAAAAATGATAAGATTAAATGAGGGTGAGAGAAAAACAAAAATAAGGAACTAAAGAATTAAATAAAAAAAAGGAGGCTCCGAAAGAACAAAAGGAAGAAAAGTGAAAGAAAAAAACGTAAAAAAAAAAAAGAATGTGTAATTGTCAAGAAATGATAAGATTAAATTAAGAGAGAGGAAAAATAAAAATGAGAGACTAAATAAGCAAACAAAAAAGGAAGGAGGGCCTCAAAAAAGGAAGAAAAGCAAAGAAAAAGAAAAAAAAATGAGAGATTAAAATGATAATGAGATTAAATAAGGGTGAGAGAGAAAATAAAAATAAGGAACTAAAGAGGCAATGAAAAAGAAAGAGGGACCCAAAAACAAATAAAAGGAAGAGAAATAAGAAAAAAACAAAACAAAAATGAGGGACAAAAATGATAAGATTAAGGGCGAGAGATAAAACAAAAATAAATGACCAAAAAAGCATTTAAAGAAGGAAGGGGGACAAAAAAACAAATGAAAGAAAGAAGTTCGGGGCCATTTGGTTTTGAACATAAATTTAAATTTTATGAGAGAATATTGTAGCAAAAGGTTGAACAGTAGTTCAAACCTATGAAACAAACGCAAAAACATAGCCAAAAAAGGGTGTAAAAGGGACTAAAATGATGATAAGATCAAATAAAATAGAATATAAAGACTAAAATGATAATAAGATTAAATAAGGGTGAGAGAAAAAATAAAAATTAGGAATGAAAGGAGCAAATAAGAAAATAAGGAATTCCAAAAACAAATAGAAAAGAAAAGAGACCTAAAAGAAATTAAGGAAAGAAAAAAAACAGAAAAAAAGAAAAAGCGGAACGAAATGTTTTGTCCCTATCAACATAGGGACAAAACGTTTTCGTCTGGTGGTGGATGAAACCACAGGACCGAACATTCACTCTTTTATATATTGTAAAGATGTGCAACCTTCTATTATGAATTGATGTGAAATTTTTTTAAAAACTAATAATAAAAGAATGATATTTCGTAAGTTAGTATAAGGGTTGTGTTGGGAATGGTGTCCTAGAAGCATGAGATGTAATATGATATTTATTATTTATTTAATAAAAGAGTTTATTCATTATTTTATGTGCATATATTTATGAATATTTTATGAA